AACATCAATGATGTCGGTCTCTTCGGGCCCTCCTGGAGGACCTCTTGGAGGCCTCGTGGGCCGTCTGGGAGGCCTCTGGGGGGCCTCTTGGGCCGTCTTGGACTCTCTTGGGCCGTCTTGGAGGCCGTCTTGGACCATCTTGGGCGGACTTGGAGGCTATCTCGGGCCATCTTCGCGATTTGTTGAGGATGTCCCGAGCGAAACGGCCGTTTCAGGAATTGACGGATGCAGTTTCCGGGTGGCCGGCGGGACGGGCCGAAGCCCCAGGGGGAGTTCTTTTGGAAAAAGAACCAAAACCACAACCGAGAGGATCTAGCACGCCAGGCACCCCTGCGATGAATCGACAGGGGGCGGCGGATCGAAGACGCCTACGGCGAATCACCGCCGCCCCCTGCCTTTTTGGAAGCGCCGATGTGGCCGAACGTTGAGGCCAGACCTGCCAAGCCATCGGACCATGTGTTCCCCGAATCGGTTTGGAAAGCCTTCGGGGAACACGTGGGCATCTTGAAGGTCATCTTGGCCGTCTTGGAGGCCTCTTGGGCGATCTTTCGGCGATCTTTGGGGGCTCTTGGGCCGTCTCGGGCCGTCGGGAGGCCGAAAACCTGGAAATGTCAAAATACATCGAAAACTATTGGAACATCAAGGTTTTTGGCCTTTCCTGGCCTTCCTGGAGGCCCTCTTGGGGGCCTCTTGGGCCGTCTTGGGCCAGCTTCGAGCCAACTTCGGCCATCTTGGTGGGTTCCTGGCATGTCTGACGCCGTCTTGGGGGCCTTTCTGGGCCAACGGGGTACCCTCTTGGGGCGCTTCGGGGCCGTCTTGGAGGCCATCTTGGGCATCTTGGAGGTCATCTTGGGCGTGTTGGAGGCCTCTTGGGCCGTCTTGGGGCCCTCTTGGGGCCATCTTGGAGGCCACTTGGGCCGTCATGGGGCCATCTTGGGGGCCTATTGGGCGATCTTGGGGGCCTCTTGGGCCGTCTTGAGCCGTCGGAATGCCGAGAAGAAGCATATTCCAAAATCCTTCAAAAACCTAAGGAGCATCAATGATTTTGGCATCTTCGGGCCCTCCTGGAGGACCTCTTGGAGGCCTCTTGGGCCGTCTGGGAGGCCTCTGGGGGGCCTCTTGGGCCTTCTTGGGCCATCTTGGGTACATCCTGGGCCGTCTTGGAGGCATCTTAAAGCCATCTTAGCCGTCTTGGAGGCCATCCTGGCCGTCTTGGAGGCATCTTGGAGGCCATCTTGGAGCCGTCTTGGGCAGGAAAGTAAGGAATTGAGCTCCCCGGCAATCCTCCCGGAACCCTGGCGGGACGGGCCGACACCCATTGGGAGAGTTCTTTTGGAAAAAGAACCAAAACCAAAACCGAAAGGGTCTAGCACGCTAGGCACCCCTGCGATGAATCGACAGGGGGCGGCGGATCGAAGACGCCTACGGCGAATCACCGCCGCCCCCTGCCTTTTTGGAAACGCCGATGTGGCCGAAAGTTGGACTAGAGCTTGGCCAAGCTATCGGACCATGAGTTCCCCGAGTCGGTTTGGAAAGCTTTCGGGGAACACATGGGAGAGAATGATTATGAACAGGAAGAGGAAGAGGAAGAAATAGAGTAGGAGGATGAGGGTTGTTAGGAGTCTCTTGGGGCACCCTTGGGGTCTGTTGGGGGCTTCTTGGGGGCCTCTTCGAGGCCTCTTGGAGGCATCTTGGGGGCCTCCTTGGGCCTCTTGGGGGCCTTTGGGGGCTTCCTGGGGGTCTCTTTGGCCGTCTTAGGGCGTTCCTGGTCCGTCTGACGCCGTCTGGAGCCGTCTTGGGGGCCTCTCTGGGCCGTCTTGGGGCCCTCTTGGGGCGCTTCAGGGCCGTCTTGGAGGCCATGTTGGGCGTCTTGGAGGCCTCTTGGGCCGTCTTGGGGCGCTCTTGGGGCCGTCTTGGGGGGCCCTTGGGCCGTCATAGGGCCTTCTTGGAGGCCTCTTGGGCGATCTTGGGGGCCTCTTGGGCCGTCGGAAGGCCGAAAAGAAGAAAACGCAACAAACCTTCAAAAACCTAAGGAAAACCAATGATTTTGGCCTCTTCGGGCTCTCCTGGAGAACGTCTTGGAGGCCTCTTGGGCCATCTTGGAGGCATCTTGGGGCCATCTTGGCCGTCTTGGAGGGCATCTTGGGCCGTCTTGGAGGCATCTTGGAGCCATCTTACCCGTCTTGGAGGCCATCTTGGCCGTCTGGGAGGCATCTTGGAGGCCATCTTGGGCCATCTTGGCCGTCTTGGAGGCCATCTTGGGCCAAGTTGGGGCAACAAAGGCATTGACAGACGGATTTTGGGAAAATTACGGGTGGCCGGCGGGACGGGCCGAAGCCCACTGGGGAGTTCTTTTAGAAAAAGAACCAAAACCAAAACCTGAAACATCCAGCACGCCGTGCACCCCTGCAAGCAGGGGGCGGCGGATCGAAGACGCCTACGGCGAATCACCGCCGCCCCCTGCCTTTTTGGAAGCGCCTATGTGGCCGAACGTTGAGGCCAGACCTGCCAAGCTATCGGACCACGTGTTCCCCGAATCGGTTTGGAAAGCCTTCGGGGAACACGTGGGCATCTTGAAGGTCATCTTGGCCGTCTTGGAGGCCTCTTGGGCAAGCTTTGGGCGATCTTTGGGGCTTTTTGGGCCGTCTCGGGCCAGCTTCGAGCCAACTTCGGCCATCTTGGTGGGTTCCTGGCACGTCTGAAGCCGTCGGAAGCCGTTTGGGGGGCCTCTATGGGCCGACTTGGGGCCCGCTTGGAATGCTCCAGGGCCGTCTTGGAGGCCATCTTGGGCGTCTGGGAGGCCATCTTGGGCGTGTTGGAGGCCTCTTGGGCCCTCTTGGGGCCCTCTAGGGGCCATCTTGGAGGCCACTTGGGCCATCATGGGGCTCTCTTGGGGGCCTCTTGGGCGATCTTGGGGGCTTCTTGGGCCGTCTTGAGCCGTCGGAGAGCCGAAAAGGCGCAAATGCCAAAATCCTTCAAAAACCAATGGAAAATCAATGATTTTGGCCTCTTCGGACTCTCCTGGAGGACCTCTTGGAGGCCTCTTGGGCCGTCTGGGAGGCCTCTGGGGGGCCTCTTGGGCCGTCTTGGGCCGTCTTGGACTCTCTTGGGCCGTTTTGGAGGCCGTCTTGGACCATCTCGGGCGGACTTGGAGGCCATCTTGGGCCATCTTCGCGATTTTTTGAGGATGTCCCGAGCGAAACGGCCGTTTTTGGGCATTGAGAGATGGGTTTTCCGAAATTTGCGGGTGGCCGGCGGGACGGGCCGAAGCCCACTGGGGAGTTCTTTTAGAAAAAGAACCAAAACCAAAACCTGAATCATCCAGCACGCCGTGCACCCCTGCAAGCAGGGGGCGGCGGATCCTAGTGGTCTTCGGCCCATCCCGCCACCGTGTCTGGGTTGTGGGTCTGAGGCCTCTTGTATATGTGTTGGGGTGTTGTGGGGAGCCGCTTGGGGGCCTCTCGGGGGTGGTTTCGGCGCCTCTCGGGGGCCTCGTGGGGTATCTTTTGGGCCTCTTGGAGGTTTTTCTGGCGCTTATTGGACGCCTCTTGGGGCCTCGCTTCTTGGGCCATCTTGGAGCCCTCTCGGGCTAGATCGGGGCCCTCTTGGAGGCGTCTTGGGCTTTCTCGAGGCGGTCTTGGGCGTTTCTTGAGTCACCTAGGAGCGTCGGAAAGCCGAGCATGCGAGAACCCCAAACTCCGTCATGCACCTTGATGTAAAATCGACGATGTTGGCTTCTTGGGACGCTCGGGAGGCTTCTTGGAGCGCTTTTGGGGCCCTGGCCGTCTTGGAACCATCTTCGGGCGCCTTCGAGCATTCTTGGCCTCGGCAGTACGAACACGGCGTAAACTGCTAGGGTTTATGGCCACGTGGACGCAAACATTGAATCATTTACCATGGTTGGTTGCTTCGGGGATATTATAATTTCCGAAGGTTTGTGGCTTCGGGGGTGCGAACATTGTGTAATTTACAAGGGGCTCTGGCTTCGGGGACGCGATTATTGAGCAATGTGCGAAGGGTCGTGGCCTCGTGGGCGCGAACATTGCGCGATTTACCATGGATTCTGACTTCGGGGATGCGCAAACGTTTTAATGTACGAAGGTTTGTTGCCTCGGGGACGCAACACTTGAGCAATTTACAAAGGTTTGTGGCCTCGGGGGCGCAAGCTTTGTATATTTGGCGAGGGTTCATGGCCTTGCGGGCGCGACCATGGCGTAATTTGCAACGGACCGTGGCCTCGGGGGCGTGAACGTGGCTTAATTGACAAGGGATCGTGGCTTCGGGATCGAAAACGTAGCGTAATTTACAAAGGGTTGTGACCTCGGGGGCCGCGAACGTGGTGTAATTAACTGGAGATCGTGGCCTCGGGGGCGCGAATGTGGTGAAATATTCAAGGGATCGTGGATTCGGGGGCGCTAACGTGGCGCAATTCATGAGGGATCGTGGCCTCGGGATCGCGAACGTGGCGTAATTTATAAGGGATCGTGGCCTCGGAGTCGCAAGCGTTGCGCAATTTACAGGGGATCGTCGAATTGAGAAGCGAATGCGGCGCAAGTTGAAATGGATCGTGGCCTCGGGGGCGCGAACACAATGTAATTTACGAATGATTATTGCGCCGGGAGCGCGAATCTCATGTATTTTTACGCGTCCCACGGCCCCGCAGGAATTCAGACATTTTCGGCTCCCTCCCCTCGCGCGGACTTCAACAATTTACTGTAGGAAGCAGAATGCAGGATTGCAACATTGAAAACTGGAAACAGGAACTGACGCAGGGAGCAGCAATCCTAAGCCTCGCAGCCTTATGGCACCACAAGGGGGCCAGCGGATTCACCACTACTGGTCAGTAAGGTCGCCGACAAGATAAGTAGCTTCCAATTTTTGGGGTGGGGTCTGAAGACCTATCGCGGCTATTCAGGCTGCGTAGTCTTTAACAGTTCCTTCGAAGGCTTCCCGAAAGTTGCTTCCGAACGAGGTTCTGGGGTCTCTCCGCTGCCGGCCAGGACCGACCATACGCGCGGAGGCGGGGCGCGGCATCGAGGGCGGCTGCACCGGCAGAGGCAGAAGACGCGCAGGACGGCGGAGGCGCGAGCGCAGGCGGCGGACGCGACGCCACCGGGGGCATGCAGCCCCCGCCGGCGGAGGAGGAGCTCGGAGAGGCGCCCCGCTGGCTGCAAGACCAGAGTCGAGCAGATCGGCACGACCGAAGAGGAAAGGATTGGGACGAAGACCGACAGCAGTCGCTGTCCATTCTGAGCTGGGTTCGTTGTCGGTGTCGCCGTGGGCAGTGTCCATTCGATACAGGGTGGCACTTGCCCAACAGCGGCCGCGGTCGGCGTTGGACAACCTTTGCTGGTTGGCAACGTACCCATTTGTTCCGTTTCCATTTCGGGCATTCCCGGTCGCCTTCTTCAACATGTTTTCCAAGACGATGTATGAAGAACGCCAACGTAGATGCCCAAGGGGCCTCGATGACTACCCACCAAGTCCTCAAACGGCTCCCAACCCGCCAGAGGTAATTGACGGAACGCCCCCAGACGTCAACATCGAGTACATTCCAGGGGGGGTCGCATGTGTGTGATACGCCTCCCTTTCCAGCTCAATATAGCTCTGGAGACACGCCCCGTATGTTTGCTGGAAGGTCCATGCGGGCTCCTGCGAATCCTCAGAGATGGACCCGGAGGCCCCCAGGGTGAGCCCAGATGGCCCCCAGACTGCTCGCAGACCCTCCAGCTCAGGCTAAATGGGGCCGAAGGGGTCCCGAAATGTCGGGGGAGGGGCTCAAACGGTGCGGTGACCACACCGTGTGGTGAGTCAGCGACGAGCTCGGGGTGACCGCACGGCTTCGGGACTTGGGTTGTTCTCTGAGGACGTCTCGGGCGACTGGGGCCCCCAGAAAAGTCGGAGGGGGTTCTCGAGGAGGCCGAAACGACTTCGAGAAGTCACCAGGCGGACCCCACCCTTGCCCTTCGTGCGGCCAAGCGATTGTGCCCACGACCCGGGGCGCGCGCGCACCCTGGGCGCGCGCGAGCGCCGGCTGGGCCGGCGAGGGCCTCGTGGACTTGCAGGGTGGGTGCCCTGCGTGCTGGAATGCAGTGCTGGCTCGTGTGCGCAGCGCGTGCGTGCGGCAGACGCGTGCGGGCAGACATCTTGCTGCAGGATAGCGTGGGGCACATTCCCCGGTCGAGCCTTTCGGGTCCCGAGGTGCCCGAGAGTTTTCCGTGGGGCACTTGCTGGCAGGCCGATGTCTTACGGTCGGACCGAGGTAGAAGATCAGGGTCGGTGCGGTGAAGGTGCCGCAATGTTTTTCGTGCATGTTGGACATCATTGTGCACCACGCGTGGTCCTTGGGAGGGTACCCTTGGATGTTCAGTATGTTTTGGCCGGCTGAGGGTCTCATGCTCTTCTCGTCAAGGCCGTTCTTCTGTCCCAGGTCTGGCCGTACTTGACTTGCCTACTATAGAGCTCGAGAGTTGCCGCCCATTCGCCAGAGTTTACCCCAGCCGCGGACCCTTTCCACTCATCGATGGTCGTGGCTACCAGGCCGGGATGAGCGCACGTCCGTCGGTCGCGGGGCCTCCCACAAAGGACGGGTGCTCGAGTGGCCGTCAGAACTACACGGACATCGCACCGACATGCAGTTAATTCCATCGCAACGTTCCGGTTTTAGCGACCCGTGGAAGCTCGACCACTGGTGCCGGCAATGTAAGCGAAATATTGCCTGACCATGCAACACGCACCTCAACCTAGGACCTAGAGGGGATCGCCTTCGATCCGCCTCGATTGCGGGGGCTTTCAGGAACAAGTTCGTGGCATTGGGGCGAGAGCACGGTTTTGAAAAGGAACCGCCCTGCATCCGCAAGATTGCTTGAAATCTAAAGCCGCGGGGTGGGAAGACGTCAAGAGAACCCAGGCGAAAACCAGATCTTGAAAAGGAGCAGCCCTCAAAGTCTCTGTACCACCCAGTGTAAAGAAGCCCAAATAGAGAGAGCTAGATTCTGCAAGACGGCCGGCCGTGAAGAATGATGTGGTCGGCGCTAAGCCGAGAGTCAGGTTTCCAAAACCACGTGTGCTTCGTCTGTGTACTTGTCGGAAGCGTTGCGGCCGACTGTTGTGGCCGTTGATGAAAGTAAGACGGATGTGTTTGGCGCTGAAGTGAGATACGGATGTGATGCAGATGTTGAGAAAACGCCCCTGTCATCCCTGGAGTTTCCAGCCTCAGCGTCATGACTGGCGAGAAAGCGTGAGACGAATCGCTTGGGCCGTGCTACGCACACGTCTGGTTGCGCGACGATGAGGATCTGATAAATAGCACAGAACAGTGGTAGGGCGTGGAGGAGAACATGGGGATGAGGGAGATGAGGATGAGGATGGGGCTGAGAATAGAGTGCAACCATATACTTGTGATGATGGGAATGAGAACGAGGGCAGCGACGACAGATCATGCACATAGTTGTGTCGCGCAGAGGGCTAAACCGAAGCGATTCCGCGCAGCATGGCACGCGCATTCTTATTTGCACGTGCTCGTGGCCATGGGTACGCATGTGCTCATATTCTGGTACCACTGATGAAGAATATTGCCGCCACTGCTGACTCGTGTTTGCCCTTGCTCAATCAACCTGGTCAGGTGGCGGCGCCTTCAAAGCACAAGGACCGTGGAGCGTGCGCGCGCCATGCACGCACGTCATACACGCACGCGTGAAAGTGTGGCGCAAAGGTTCGCGCGGCCTCCGCTCTCAGCCGCTGGCCCGACTCCGCTGCGCTGCTGCCCGCGTGGCCGCGATGCCGAAAGCGCAAGTGCGCGTGCATCATGTGTAAAAGTGCACCTGCGCACTCGTGAGGGTGCGCTCGCTTGTTGGGAGGGCCCTGCGGCCGGTGCCGCCGACCCTGACTAGGGGACGATGACGACGACCAGGACGACGATGACGACCACGATGACGACGACGACGACGACGACGACGACGACGACGACGGCGACGACGACGACGACGACGACGAGGGCAGGGCGGCGACGGCGACGACGCTGACGCTCTAGAGCCCTTCTTGGGGTTCTCTTGGGAGCCTATTGGGCTCTGATGGGGGGCCTCTTGGGGGACTTCTTGGGAAGCTTCGTGGCCACTTGGAGCCGACTCGTAGCGGATCTTAGGGCTCTTGGAGGCATGTGAGTGCGCTCGATTATTCTCGCCCTACGCGCCAGCAGGAGTGTGCAGATGCACGGCAGGTTCGCGTCGTATCGACTAGCGGCGGCCCCGCGGCCAGCGTTCAACGTTGATCGCCTCCAGCGACCCAGAATCGGCCGATGTTGAAGAATCTGACGTTTCGGAAACGGCTGATCTCCGCGGTGTCAGGAGCCAGAGCCGGGGTCGACACAACACGAACCTGTAGTACGCGCGCATGCTCCTGGGCGGCAGGAGACGGCCTAACATGTCTGTGTGCGGACGCCCAGGCCGCATCTGTGCCTCAGGCTGCAGGGCTCTGTCCAATCGCGCGGCCACCCCGCACAGGGGACAAGTTGACGCCTAAGAAGTATGTACATGTTGGCCTTCCCTGGAATCCTGTCGTTGCATTTTTCCACCACGGGCGATGCTGCCTTGTTTCAGCCCTTGGAGACCTCACGGATCGATCCCGCTCGAAAATTGCCGCAGAAATGTTCGGTCCAGGGCTTTGGTCGAGATTTGTTACCGATGCTAATTTTTTTCGCGACGTCGGATGCCAGGCTCAAAGGCATACGTACGCATGTCGGCCTTGACCCCTGGGGCCGGGCCCGCCCCGCAGATTTTAAGGCCGACCGAGGCTCGGGTTGACCCAAAAGGGGGTCCAGCGATAAGGGGATGGTGCAATAGATTTGGTGCAATAGATTTGTGGGATTGCAGTGCATGTGTTTGGGGCGTGCAATACATTCCCGGCCGCAAATGTGTTTCTGGATTTTCGCGTGCAATGCATTTGTCGCAATACAATGCAATACAATTCTCCAGCGCAATACATTTGCAACACAATTGCCCCAAATCTATTGCACCACCCTTTCAGCTGGACCCCTTTTTGGGTCGACCAAAGAGGCGCTGTGCCTGGTCGTGGAGGTGGGGGACGCGACCAGCATCCTCGAGCTCTCCACGGCGGCCCTCGCCGGGCGCTGCTGCGCGGCGCTCTGCTGGGCCCTGCGGCGGCGGTGGGGCACGCCAGTGGTCGGGGATCGCCTGGCCGGGCGGGAGATCGGCGTCATTCAAACTCAATCAGTGGCGAAGCGTCTTGGCTCGCCAATAGGCCCACCAAATAATGCTCTAAGAACTGTTATCAGAACATGTCTGGCTGAGCCTGTCTTGTTTTAACACATCAGGTTTATGTTATAAGAACATTGTCTGTGATATTGGAACATTTGGGGGTTCTAAGGACATGTCGAGGTATGCTTATATGAATGCCGGGACGGTCGGCCCCTGCTCAACACACAGATTTACAACCTGTGCGCGTCGAGAAATATTGTAGTATGTGTGCCGTGGCGGGCATTTCTGGCCGAACCGCTGGGGAGACGGTATACTACAAGACGTTGTGCAACATGTTCGTGTCGGACGCACGCCTCCAAGGAGGACACGTAGTCTTACAGGCTCGGAAGTATTTCTCTCAGCGCCACACCAGGGCCCCAACAACACCCGAAAGACACATAAAGGTTTTCGCGCTTAACCCCGGCCGCATCGCATCAGCGGGCGCGCAATCCCCCCCCATAAAGTTCTAAATTGGTTTCCGCTAACGGGGGGGGCCCGATGTCATCCACTCCTGTTACTAGGAGTTGTATTCAGGAGTGGATGGAGCCTGGCTTGGCCGCGCGCCCATCCTGAGATATCCTCAACATCTGCCTGGCTTGTCCCCTGGTTTGGCATGGTTTTGGTCCAGTTTCGCTTGAGACGTCCTCAACATGTGCCTGGTTTGGCCCTGGTTGGGCTTGGTTTGGGACTGGTTTCGCTTGAGACGTCCTCACACTTTGTCTGGTTTGGCTTGGAGTGGGCCCAGCTTCGCTTGAGACGGCCTCACAAAGACAAACTAGGTCTGGCCTGGACGAAACGAAAAACGAGAAGTTACGCACTGCAGGGTAACATCTATTATGGGCGTCATGCGGTTTCAACACAAAGTGGGACGTGTCACGTTCTCTTTGACATTGACTGGTCAATTCACAGACGTCGTAGTGGGCGTGTACGAACCGAAGTAGTGGCACGGTGGCATGAATATCCATTGTGGTCCACATGTGACGCAACTGCGCTACAGACAGTCGGTCGGTATGGGTGTGGGCATTCCCAAC